GTGCATGTACATAAATTTCATTAATTTAATGAAGGAAATTTTTGCACTTGCAGCAGTACATAGCATGCATTTAGGCGCCTGGTGTTAGCAGTCGCGCCTAAACACAGCTTGTAGTTAGATTTTTTGCGGGATTTCTATAAAACTAGTGAACCCGCATGGCGTGAAAACGTCCAAAACTTAATTTCAAAAAATGGCAACACTCCTAAGTAAATGAATAATTTGAATGTATCTTTTTAAACACGTGGCAACCCTCTTCAAACATTCCAAATGGTCAAACTAAAGATTTCTTAACATTCTTTCGTTTGACTACGGTATTTTTATATTCCATTTACTTCTTGTATTACTTAATTGAGTTAGACCTTTCAACAGGTGGCAGCCCTCTTCAAAAGTATTTTCAAGCTTAATCCTTGTTAACTCTTCTTCGCCTGACATTGCGATACATATTTTAATTAACTGATGAATTAGTAGAATTTCATTTTTTAAACATGTGGCAACCCCGCTAAGTACAGTTAAGAAATAAAAGTTTTTCAAAGCGCCCTCGATTGATACCCATATTTTAGTAATACATTAAACTTATTAATTAATTTGAAATTAACTTTTTAAACAGGTGGCAACCCTTTTTCAACACCTCAAAAATTTATTTGCGTTCAAACTAAAGATTTCTTAACACCCCTCCGTTTGACATCCATATTTTGATGTTTCATGTAACTTGCATATGTAAACTAAATTCGACATATCAAGCAGGTGGCAACCCTCTTCAAATTATTTTCAAACTACTACTTTCTGAAACCCCTTTCGTTTGGTACCCATATGGTGATACACATTTTTCTTACCTAATATGATTTTTTAAACAGGTGGCAACTCTCCTTAGTTCAGCTAAGAAACGAAGCTTTTCAAAACCATTTCGGTTGATACCCATTTTGTAATAATTGATTTTTTTTTTTGAAGTGAAACTTCTTAATCGAGTTCGGAGATGGTTGCGTTAAATATTTAACACCAAGCCATAAAATCTGTATCGTTCGTTCGATTTTTAAAAATGAGGTGTCAAATGAAAGGCCTTGTGCTTGGGGTGTGCAATATATCTTTAGTTCCATGAAAGGAGTTGCCACATGTTAGAAAATCGAATTCAAATTTTCTCTGCCGCAGAGGGTTGCGTTAAATATTTAACACCAAGCCATAAAATCTGTATCGTTCGTTCGATTTGTAAAAAAGAGGTGTCACATGAAAGGCCTTGTCCTTCGGCTGTGCAACATAGCTTTAGTTCCATGAAAGGAGTTGCCACATGTTAGATAAACGAATTCAAAATTTCTCTGCCGCAGAGGGTTGCGTTAAATATTAACACCAAGTCATAAAATCTGTATCGTTCGTTCGATTTTCAAAACTGAGGTGTCAAATGAAAGAGCTTGATCTGTAGATGTGCAATATAGTTTTAGGTGTTTAAAGGGTTGCCATATATACGAAACCCAAATTCAAATTATTTATTAAGTTAAATGAATTGTCCCAATATGGGTATCAAAAGAAATGGTTTCGAATAAACTGTACTTTTTAGCTA